CAGATTTTATTTAATTTTTTATGGAAGAACCGTGTGCACTACATTCGTAAATCTGTTGTCATAAATTCCCTTAAAAACGGTGGACTTGACTTTTTTGGATTTCTCTACTTTAAATAATACTCTCAAAATTAATTGGTTAAAATTTTGTTTGAATAAACCTTCTTTGTGGAATTTCATTCCTAATTTTATTTTTGACCAACTCGGGGGTCTTTCTTTTTTACTAATGTGTGATTATAAGATTGAGAAATTGCCAGTGAAGCTATCAATTGATTTTTGGTTAGTCTCTAGAAATTTTGATAAAGAGAATATCTATATTGATATCTCTGCAACGCCATTAACAGATCATAAGGCTGTTTCTATTAAAATTTTGCTTTCTCCCGAAGCTAGATTTAACAAGGGCTCTTCTTATTGGAAAATGAACAGTTCATTGCTTAATCATAATGAGGTTAGATCAGAGCTGGAAAGACTTATTGGTTTTTATTGGAGTAAAGCTAAACACGAAAATTAATTTGGTATAAATTGGGAATTGTTCAAATATGAAATTGGGAAATACCTCAGAAAATTTTGTGCTAATTTGGCTAAAATAAAACGTCTTGAAGAAGTTAATATTGTTAGTGAAATCTCGTCTATTACCAAGATCTTACCTGAAAATCTGTCCGATAGTCAGAGAGCCTATTTAGTTGATTTGCAAATTAAGTTGGATGACTTGTATAAATTAAGAGCAGAAGGGGCTTTTATAAGGTCAAGGCAAAGGTGGCTTGAATATGGTGAACAGATGTCTTCCTACTTTTTTAAGCTTGAGAAAAATAGGGCTAAGCACAATTCTATTTGCCAATTAAATATTGGAGGGGTTGTCTCAGATAATGCTAAAGAAATTTTCCAGTTTTGTTATAAGTTTTACTCAAATTTGTATAAATCTAAATTTAATCTAGCTGATCTGGATACTTTCAGTAAACATCTTGGTAATGTTAATTCTATTAGTAATGATGAAAAAAATTTGTGTGACTCGACAATTACTATCGATGAGGTTAAAGAAGCAATTTTACATTTAAAAAATAACAAGTCGCCTGGCAGTGACGGGATAACGGCAGAATTTTATAAGTTATATTCTGAGTTGTTATCTCCGTTCCTCCTGCAAGTGTATATAGAGAGTTTAAATTGCTCTGAGCTTTCTGTTAGTATGAAGCAAGGTGTCATTTGTTTAATACCTAAACCTAAAAAGGACACTCTTCTTTTAGACAACTAGAGACCTATCAGCCTCCTTAATAATGATTATAAATTGTTTGCCCTTATTCTCTATAAACGTTTTAAGTTGGTTTTGAACTCCATTATTGATGAAAATCAGTCAGGTTTCATGAAAAATCGTCATATTTTTTATAATATTAGACTTGTCTTTGACCTCATTGATTACTCTGACTTTATTGAGGACGATAGTTTAATTCTGTTTTTGGACTTCTTCAAAGCTTTTGACACTATTGAGCATCCTTTCATTTTTTTTGTTTAGAGCGTTTTGGTTTCGGGCCCTATTTTTGTAATGCGATGAAAACGTTGTATGCTGGGGGAAATAGCTCAGTGAAATTAGGACATGGTACTACACAGAGATTTATTTTAGAAAGAGGTATTCGGCAAGGCTGTCCAGCTTCCGTATATCTCTTTCTTATTGTAGCTCAAGCCTTCTGTCATTTTATTAAGGATAGTAAGGATAGTAAGCTTCATATTGCTGGTAGAAGTATTTTAATTAGTCAACTAGCGGATGATACAGCCTTATTTTCCTTATTTTTCACGCCAGGTTCATCAGGCAATTAAAAATATACGGTTGTTTTCTAATGCTTCAGGTTTGTACCTTAATATAAAAAAATGTGAAATATTAGTCTTAAAAAATTCCTCCCTTTTATCTGTGGATGGTATTCCAGTTAAAGAAGCTGTTAATTACTTAGGCGTTGTCATTTCGAAAAGTGAACAAGATAGAGTTTCCCTGAATTTTAACCCTGCTTTTGAAAAGATAAAAAGAAAATTTAATCTTTGGTTATTAAGGGACTTGTCCCTCAGAGGTAGAGTTCTTCTGTCAAAAGCAGAAGGAATTTCTAGATTAACTTATATTGCTTCAACCATATATCTAGACAATAAAACTGTTAAGTCTATCGATCAGATTTTATTTAATTTTTTATGGAAGAACCGTGTGCACTACATTCGTAAATCTGTTGTCATAAATTCCCTTAAAAACGGTGGACTTGACTTTTTTGGATTTCTCTACTTTAAATAATACTCTCAAAATTAATTGGTTAAAATTTTGTTTGAATAAACCTTCTTTGTGGAATTTCATTCCTAATTTTATTTTTGACCAACTCGGGGGTCTTTCTTTTTTACTAATGTGTGATTATAAGATTGAGAAATTGCCAGTGAAGCTATCTGCCTTTCATGCTCAAGCTTTGTTGGCTTGGAAACTGATCTACAAGCACAACTTTTCTCCGCAGCGTTATTTTATTTGGAACAATCGTTGTATTTTGTTTAAACATAAAAGTATTTTTTTGAAAAGCTGGTTTGATAAGGGTATTGTCTTAGTGTGTCATTTGTTTAACACTCAAGGGTATCTTATGACATATGATGAGTTTCTTGTACACTTTAATTTTCCTGTGACTCCCAAGGAATTCTCTCTTGTTTTCTCTGCAATTAATTCTGCTATAGTTTCCTTATTTAAAGATGTGATATTGGTTGATATGCCCATAGTCAATCTAACTGATACAATATGTGGTAAAATTTGTTTTTCACAGACTAAAAATAACAAGTCTATTCGTTCTCTATTTTTAAAGGAGATTGCTACCAAGCCTTGCTCTATTGCTTATTGGACTAAATTTGTTGGAAATCCTAAGTGGGAAAGCATTTGGTTATTGCCTCACAAGTTCTTTGTTACAAACAAGATAAAAGAAATCTGTTTCAAAATATTTCATAAATTCTATCCTGTTAAACATTTTCTCAGTAAGTTTAAGAAGGATATTGATGTTAACTGCTCTTTTTGCTCTTTGCACTTGGAAACTGTACCCCACATCTTCTGGCACTGTAGTTATGTTAAAAAGTTATGGTATGATGTCTCTATGTTTATCAAAGAAAAGATACACTTTAATTTTAATTTGCATTTTGAAAATGTAGTTTTTGGATATTTTAATTGTGATCATGTAAATAACAAAGTTTTTGTTATTAATCTGTTTATTTTGTTGGTTAAGTTTCACATTCATAAGTGTAAATTTTCTAACAAAAAACCCTGTTTTACAGTGTTTTTTAAAGAGTTGGAAAATTACTTGTGTACTATTCAACATAGTACTAATAGAAAGGCAATTAAAACTGTCAGTTTGTGTTCTGTCTTCAAAATCTTTGAGTAATGTAAAGGTCATGCATGTCTCTGATTGTGTGTGTATGTATATATATGTATATATGTGTGTATATATATATGGGTATATATATATAAATATATACATATATATATATATTTCCTTCTTTTCTTTTATCCTTTGTTACCCTGGCTTTGTATTGTTTTGTATATGTCGTTTAAAGCATAATAAAAAATAAAAAAATAAAAAAATAAAAATACAGTCTATGTTTAAAACCCACAAGCCGCCACTGCTAACTTAGTCATTACCAAAATGAACTGTCATTATTTATTCCCCCTCACGTCATTCTAAACCTGTATGGCTGTCTTCTGTGAAACACAAAGACTTAGGAAATGTCTCTTTTTTGTCCATACAACAGAAGTCAGCAGTAACCAAAACAATTTTTTTTGGATGAACGATCCCCTTAACCCTTTAACTGTCACCCGTCCCATCTGTGGGGTGCCTAAGTTTACTTAAATATATTACAATTAAATCCTAATCTAATCATGACAAACTATATATCGTTGGAAAGGTCTAAGACTCCTAAATAGATATTTTACCAATGTTTTTGTTCAAAATTATGTAGGAAAAGTAATTATTTTAATACTGTGTTACTCATTGTTATGAATTACAAGATGTTACAGTCCATAACAATATAATATTTTTTGCAAAAAGTGTCTTAAATAGCTGAAATCATGATTTCTTGTCCGAATTAGTCAGTGCATTTTTTCCATCATGTATCGTGTAATCAAAATATTTTATTGTACTTTTCTTTTGGTAATATTTAATTCATTTTATTTATAAAAGCCCTAAAGAGTCATTTACCTAATTCTACAACGTTATTAAAAAAAATAAACTTTTTTCTTATAAAAATGTGTGTCCGTAAATCATTTATGCTAGCAAGTCGAGTTTTTGGCAAAAAATAAAGAAAATTGTCAATTCTGTTACCGTCAAACTCTGTTACCAAGGTAGAGTAACAATGCTGACAATGCGGTAACAGAATTGACAGTCCATCGGACAATCCTGTCAATTCTGTTACTTTACAATTCTGTTACTTAAAGGGTCAACTCTGTTTATGTGTTGTGAACTATTTTCACAAAAAAAACAATAAAATTGTTGTTTAAAATCTAATAAACATTATTGATTCATTTTTGCACCCTTATAATATTTCAAAAAAATTTTTTTTAAATGGATATTGTATATAATACTAAATTTCAGATGACAGATTTGACAAACAATACCATAAAGACATCTGTATTTTCATTAAAAATAAAAAAAGGAAGTAACTTGTGTTTGGCAAGCACTGAATTATTAAAATTAAATATGTTTTAAATAAGATACTGAAAAAAAAAAAAATCTGTTAGTGAAAAGTTTTTTTCTTAACTTTCTGCAATGCCAAATGTATCTCCAATTATAGAATCACCCTTAAGAATACAAATGATTTAAAATGGCAATATAAAATTATCAATTATAAAAAGTTTGCAGCAGTATTAAAATAGTGCAAATAGCGTAGATGTGCAATGCAGCATTAAAACCTAAACAGTACAAACAGAAAACATAATGTAATAAAACGGTAGGGGGTGAATTTATTATTCCATGTATTATTCCATTATTCCAGGTCAATGGGCATCAGTGTTTAAGGTTGGTAAACACGTGTACACGGACGCATATAATACTACCCGCCTGACATTGACATGTGTTATTCAGGTGTCAAAGTTGTGCAGAATTGAAGGAAGAAACCTCAAAGACAGTGCCAGATGGATGCTGGACAGGTAAAGCCTACAAAACGTACAACATTAATTAAGCATTGTGGTGTCAATACTCAATAAGTTACAACACAAATCTGAAATTTTAAAAATAATTCCTTTACTGGTCATTTTGAAATGTCAAACTTTGTCCGCAATTGTTAACCACCTCAATCTGTATTATATTTTAGGGTTTTAAAAAAATTCCCTCATGTCCAAATTCAACATGAAGTGGGGTGGTCCGCTGCAGAAAGAGGCATTTGAAAAGACTGTACTGTTCTCGGTCATTAGAGGTATGTGTATAAAACACAAACAACATTTACCAGAGAGCTTCTCTCTATTTTAACACTGAATGGTGATACACTATATATCTCATTTTTGTTTTTAGTAGGCATCCAAGCAAAAGAGAATGACTCCCTGTCACAATTAGTGTAATTAAAGTAAAAAATTATGTCAAAAAGCTTTTCTTGTGCTTTTTTTTTGTCTTATTTGGCAGATGCTGTGATAACCAACTTCCCGGCAGCAAGAGAGTTGGACTTGAGGAATGCAGTGCCATAGAACAATGCTCTAATAACCAAGCATGTACAACATGAACATTTATGTGTGCATCAATACAGTTCAACCTAACTTTAACCATTAATTTTCACTTTTAGTTGACCGTTACTTTCTTTTTGCTTACTGTCAGACTTTAAGTTACATAGTCTTTCAACCACATTGGCTTCCTTCTACAACAATGCCTCTCTGCTTGGATGTTGACACTTTCCAGGAGTGGAGCCGAAACTGATTGTTCAGCCAGAGTGAAATCTGTAGATAGGGGTGCCAAATGAGACACGTCCCAAGTTCGTCCATCGTTCAGCTCATAACTGTGTGTTCCTTTTCTCCTCACAATCTGCATAGGGCCACTGAATTTTGATTTCCCTTTTCTGACATGCACAGATTTTCTCACCCTTACAAGGTCACCTTCTTTGAGCTTCGGAATCCTTGCTTTACGCTTTGTGTCCAGATATGCTTTCATCTTTTGTTCATTTTGCATCACTTTTGTTCTCAGTTCATTCATGTCAGGGTTCAGATTGCATTGTGGAAGGACTGACAATTTTGTTCTCATTTTCCTCCCAAACAAGAGCTCGAGAGGAGACATTCCTGTGGTAGCATGGGGTGTAGCTCTATACGTTTGCAAGAATTCTACAATAAATGATGTCCATGGAGCCCTCTCTCGCTCCGCAGTCAGAATGGCATTCTTCAGTACCTTATTCCAACGCACAACAGCTCCATTTCCTTCTGGATGGTATATGGAGGTGCGAATGTGCTTGATATTTCTTTCTTGCAGGAAATGTTTGAACTTGGATGACAGGAACTGAGGTCCATTGTCGGTGACAATCTCCAGTGGATTCCCCTTTTGGCTGAACAGTGATCTCAGAAAACTGGTAACAGTAGACACAGTCACGTGAGGTGCGAATGCTACCTCTGGCCATTTTGAGTGGTAGTCAATTAATGTAATGGCATATCTGCAGCTAACAGGGCCTATCTTAAAAGGGCCTACATATCAATGCCCAGTTTCTGCCACGGACCGGCTGGGTACTCAACTGGGGTCAGTGGTGCATGTGTGGTTCTAGCTGTCTTATCGTTAATCTGGCAGGTGACACAGGTTGCTACAGGCAGGTGAGTTTTATCAGGGTTGGATCAAATATCTGCAGGAAAATGGCCTGGAAGGGCAAAGTTTGCCCATCACTGTGCTAGAGTGACCAAACGTGACCGTAAGCTAAGTGGCACAATCAGTCTGTGAGTTCCTCTTATCACATAAGAGTCATGACTAGACAGTTCATCTCTTACTGGAAAGTAAGGAAGTACATCAGCAGGCAATGTTTTAGATGTTGCAGGCCAGCTGTTCTCAATATATTGACGCAGTTTGGCGAGCTCAGTGTAGGAGGAGCTTTCAGCAGCAAACTCAGCGACAGGAACAGCTGACAGCAGGGTGGTGATGGCAGCAACAGTTTCTGGTTCAAAGTCAGAGTTCATTTCATTTGGCAATGGCAGACCTGATAGACAATCTGCTACCCGGTTGTCAGCTCCGCGTTTGTACTCCACGTCATAATTGAAGCAGAGCAATCTGGCAGACCATCGAGCCACTCTAAGTCCAGCGCGTCCCATGCCTTTAGTACTTAACAGGGTAGTCAGGGCTTGGTGATCTGATCTTAATTTGAATTGTTTGTCCCACAGGTACGTTCTCCAACGCTCAATGGACCAGACACAAGCGAGGTCTCTGCAGCTGTCAAAGTTCTGGAAGCAAAAGCCACAGTTCTTTCTGACATATCTGGATGGATCTGAGTCAGGATACCACCTATGCCATAGTCCGAAGCGTCTGTTGTAACAATTGTGGGCAAAGCCAGGTCAAATAAAGCCAATGCAGGGCTCTCTGCAATCAGTTCTTTCACTTTCTGGAAACTTCTGTGTGCTTTGGTGGTCCATGTGAAATTTGTGTTTCCTCTGAGCACATCTCTTATAGGCTCAACAACTGCTGCGTAGCTCGGAATAAATTTAGCATACCAAGCAGTAAGGCCTAGAAACGATCTTAGTGTGGACGCATCCAAAGGAGCTGGGGCATTTTGTATTGCCTCCAAGTGGCTGTTGTCTGGCATCAATCCCTCTTTTGAAATGGTATGTCCCAGGAAGGTGAGTTTCTCCTGGTGGAACTTACATTTCTCGTCATTTAGACGCAAACCTGCTTCTTGCAGTTTGTGCAGCACTGTTTTGAGGTGGGCATCATGACTGGCAGCAGAATCACTAAATACAATTATATCATCCAAATAAAACTGGACAGCGGGAACATCTCTGAGGACGGTAGACAAAAGTTTTGAAATGCTGCTGGGGCTGACGCTAATCCATAGCAGACGCTCTTAAAACGAAACAGGCCGTCCTGTGTTATAAATGCAGTCAGGTCTCTGCTTTCCTCGTGTAGTGGAACCTGATGGTACGCATTCGCAAGATCAATTGTGGAAAACATCACAGCGCCTCTTAACTGTGAAAACAGCTCCTCGATGTGTGGAATGGGATAGCTGTCCACCACAATTGCTTTGTTGGGTTCCCTAAGATCCACACACATTCTGATATCTCCAGACTTCTTCTGAGTCACTACGATGGGCGATACCCAGGGCGAGGCATCTACTCTTTCAATAATGTCTGCTGGTAACAGACGGTTCAGCTCCGCAGACACAGCATCCCTTACAGAAAAAGGCAGCTTCTGTTGCACAGGGACAGCATTTTTTGCGCAATTTCACTTTATGTACAAAATTCTTTGCACAGCCAAAGCTTGGTGTGGCAGAATGAGACACCTGTTCCACAGACTGTGTGTAGGTGATTACTTTATTTCCTTTTATGCACAGGTTCAAGGAAGATATTAAGTCCATGCCCATCAGTGGGTTTCCACTTTTCACAATATAGAATGTGGCAGGTACTGAACATTCTCCATGTTGTGCACAAGTCTTAATACATCCCAGCACAGGAAGGTCATCTTTTGCATATGTGACAAGACGCACATCAGACTGTTCCAGGGGCAGCTCAGAAAAGTATTGCTTATATATACGCTCTGGCAACAAAGATACAGAAGATCCTGTATCAACAGTTAATTCTTGCGTTGTAGTACCTGACAATGAGCCCACTTCAATGTTACACACAATTTTGTTGGCAGCAGGAGATGTGCTAGTTATGTACAAGACAGTCAGTTTAGGAACTTCAATTTCTCGGATGTTATGTTTCCTTGCAGAGCGGCACACCTTTGCAAAATGTCCAATTTTGCCGCATGATTTACAGGTCTTGTTTAAAACTGGACACTGCTTGGAATTTTCTAGATGACTGCTGGAATCACAACGGTAACATTTGTGTTCAGAATGTACATCCGCTCGACTCTGCTGCTTTTCTTGTGCTGCCTCTATGTGCGTTTGTTTCTTTTTTTCTCACGTGCAGTCTTTGAACTGGTAATTCGGCAGGCTTCGCAAATTCACTAGCATTAGCCATTGCATTTTCCACTTGGATTGCAACTTGTATTGCTCTGTCTAACGTTAAATCCTGTAGCGTCTGGACCAATCAGACACACCATTTTTCATTTGATTTAACAAGTCAATTATTCATTAGATTAACAAACGTTCACAGACCCCTCACCCAATAAACATACTGGGTGCCAAGTTGTCTGTGAACAAGGCCCAGGACCCTGGTTACCATGGCAACCCTGACATAATTATTCATATTTCCCCATGAATGAGCTGATTCGCTACAATCCGCTTCAAGCAATAAATGTTCACGAATTCGACTGCTGTACACTTTTTCAACGATTTGATCTCTCAGCATTTCATCTTCTTTATCATCAAATGCACATAATGACACCGTATCACGGAGCGCGGCCACATATTGCAGGATATTTTCATCATGACTTTGCTCCCTTTGGCGAAATTTGTGTCGCTCCGCAATGACATTAACTTTTGGTGCAAAGTACGCCCTGAGAGCCGTAAGTGCAGATGCATATGTCGTACCGGTGTTAGGAAGAGTGTAGAAAATTCTCTGTGCTTCTGTTTCCGAGGCAGTGAAGCAATATAGCACGCTTACGATTGTCAGGCCAGTCGTCTCCCTCTGCATGAATCGCCAGCAGGTAGTTCTCAAATATTTGTGTCTATATTCCAAATGGAATGGCAGGTTCACCAGGACATTGTATGTAGGAGGAAGATGGACTGCCATCCTCGTTGCCAATTTGTTGTGTAGTTGTATATAATCACGAGAGATCACATTCAGGTAACTCACATGGTCTCTTTACTAGCACTGCATGTCTGACACAACATTTCTTCTTCTTACATGCATACCAGTTCCCACATAATACAACAACTCCCTCTAGTGGGCATTTACCATTCAACATTGTTAAGTGGACACAACATAGACTAGTCATCAAATAGACAGCTAATGAATGCCTACATATATACATCTAATAGACAACAAAATGGCGAAATGCTTCCCAACTGCATTCCTCAAGTCCAACTCTTTTGCTGCCGGGAAATTGGTCATCACAGCATCTGCCAAATAAGAAAGAAAAAAAAAGCACAAGAAAAGCATGACATAATTTTTTACTTTAATTACACTAATTGTGACAGGGAGTCATTCTCTTTTGCTTGGATGCGAACTAAAAACAAAAACGAGATATATATAGTGTATCACCATTCAGTGTTAAAAAAGAGAGAAGCTCTCTGGTAAATGTTGTGTGTTTTATACACATACCTCTAATGACAGAGAACAGTGCAGTCTTTTCAAATGCCTCTTTCTGCAGCGGACCACCCCCCTTCATGTTGAATTTAGACATGAGGGAATTTTTTTAAAACCCTAAAATATACAGAATGAGGTGGTTAACAATTGCGAACAAAGTTTGACATTTCAAAATGACCAGTAAAGGAATTATTTTTAAAATTTCTGATTTGCGTTGTAACTTATTGAGTATTGACACCACAATGTTTGATTAATGTGGCAAGATTTGTAGGCTTTACCTGTCCAGCATCCTTCTGGCACTGTCTTTGTTCTTAAGCTTTACTATCAATTTGGAAGTTTCAAAATAAATCTTATTTTACTTGTACAATGACAAAGCTATTCTATTCAATTAGCTCATGCTCTCTCTGTATCTCACAAGCCATTGTTGAGTCATAAATTCAATATAATAATTGAAATAAATGATGGACTTTGTCAAAGATGCGAGTTTTAGTGAGGAAATGTTGTTTTGGAGAGTTTTTTTTTTTTTTTTTACCATT